TATATAGTAGATACTGTTTATATATATATATAAGCTTTCACTAAGGTTGCATTCTTTTTTATATTGTTCCAACATTTGCTGCAAACAGTAAATGTATGTTGGCTTCTTTATTTTAGAAGCATCTGAGGATTTTTATTTTTTTGTCTATAAGAGAAATTACTATAATCTGCTCAGTTGTCTAACATACACACCCACAGACATTTGGTGTGTATTTCTGTGTTTTCTTTTTTTCATCCCATGCAAATAAGGCATAACATGCCACAGATGGTTAAATGACTGTTTGAATATGGTTATGAGAACAGGATATTTAAATCTGAACAACCGAACTTGCAGTGACAGAGAATCAGAGAGCACACTATATAGACATATGGTAGGTAAGAATATCTCTAAAAGATTGAAAATGTTTTATTCAAAACATTTTATAATATAGTAATGACAAGACCTGAACAAATTGAACTAAATCATATTCTTGTTTTTTTCACATAACAGATTGCTACTGTGGAAATCTTCTACATGGAATCCACTGTCATCAGCAACAGTGTTGTAAATTACTTACATCCCTGCTATGACTTAGACAATGGAACTTATACATTTTCAAGTAATCCTAGTTTTACCTGTGTGTTTTTGTATATTTTTCTTGGCTCATTGTCTGCTCTCACCGTGAGCGGAAACCTGCTTGTGATAATCTCCATAAGTTTTTTCAAACAGCTCCAAACTCCCACAAATTACCTCAACCTGTCGTTATCTGTTACTGACCTTCTTGTTGGAGTTTTAGTATTTCCTTTCAGTATGGCATTTGCTGTGAGCTCATGTCTGCATCATGAGAATTTATTTTGCAAAATACGAGACAGCTTTGATGCAATGCTGTGCACGTCTTCAATTCTGAACTTGTGCTGCATTTCCATTGACAGATATTATGTGGTGTGTGAGCCTCTGACCTACAGGACAAAAATAAACACTCAGGTAACTTTGGTTATGATTGTTGTGAGCTGGGTAGTCTCAGCTCTAATTGGACTTGGCATCACAATTGCCGGATTCAGTCAAGGTGTATGTAAAGAAACATGTTCAGCTGATGTTATAGTGGCCAACACAATGGGACCTGTTTTCTCTTTTTATTTCCCTGCAGTCATAATGCTTTGTATTTACTTGAAGATTTTCCTTGTTGCACAGAAACAAGTGCACAGCCTTCAGAACACAAACAATATCAGTACAACGTCTGGAGCAGCTGTTAGCAGGATGGAGAGAAAAGCCACCAAAACCCTTGCTGTTGTTATGGGAGTTTTTCTTTTGTGTCTCACGCCATACTTTTTTTGTGTTGTCTTCCAGCCTTTATTTTATAGTCCACCACCAGCTCCTGTGATTGAAACACTTAACTGGCTCGCTCTGTCTAATTCAATGCTGAATCCTTTAATTTATGCTTTCTTTTATAGCTGGTTTCGATCAGCTTTCAGGATGGTAATTTCTGGAAAAATTTTCCACTGTGATTTAGCCAACTCCAAGCTGTTTTGATGATGGGGGTTTTAGTATATGAGTGGACAACACACAAAACATCATAAAATCTCCATCCCAAAATGGTTTATATAAGGCTGCACTGTTTTTCCTTTGCAAAGAAAAAAATATGTGCTAAATATTTGCCTTGAAAACAGATGACATGTTTATTCTTCTGCTCATCTTGATTCAAAGTGCACCTATTGAGGCTATGTGTATTGCTGAATTCATCATGCATCATCTATTTACTTACTCAATATAGATGTTAGACTTTATCATCTTTTCTTTTTCTTACTGTGATAGTGATTGATAAAATATTTTATCACTTTCACTGTGATTGGTCATTGAGGAACTGAAAGAACTAGTTTATTATCCTAAAGGTTTGAGTGACTTGATATGGTGACATGTCTTCAAGAAGATTCCTTGACTCAGATTCTCTCCTCCCCTGACTGCAGCAGAGTATTGATGACAGCTCAGACAAGGAGGGTGGGGTTGAGGACTGGTGCTGGAGTAAGTCTACAGAACCCGTTTTTTCAGTTCAGGAAGTGAGAACAGGTTAGCGTTTCAGGCGGCTAAGGGCATTGATAAGTGTGTGATCTTGTAAGTTCATTGATCTTCTTTGATTGCTGACTGTTCTCCAAATCATTGAAATAAATCTGAAAAAAGTGTACATCCTTTTTTTTTTCTTGTGTCCTTTCTGGCATTGTGGCACTCAGAATTGTTGTCCGAGTGTCAAAGTGAGGCCCAACTGATTTACTTTCACAAGCGTAGCATTACAGCTGGCCGTAATGCTCCACTTGATATATAAATGAAACTTTATTAGAATTTGTTTTGGTTTTGTTTCAGATGTAATGGACACAAAGATGAAAAACAAAGGAGAAAAGAAATGCAAAAAAGTGGGAAAAGGGTTTAAAGGGAAAGAAGGAGATACGAGTAGAGGAGAGAGAGAGGTATAAAGAGAACACAAGTCAACATCATTGGTCTGCTTCTAGACCTGCGGAAAGAAAAAAGACAAAACAGAAACCACAACAACATATGCATATATAATGATATTATATAACATCATTGGAAAGTATACGGTACATGATAGTACAAGAAGTATTTCTTGGCCTCCGCAACCCAACTGGGTATGTATCTGACAAACACCTGTTAGGGGTTGAACGACTACATATTTTTAAAAGTCGACATTAAAAGGATAATAGTCCAGTCGATGTTGACTAGTTGATGATGTCACAGGAAGTCAAAACACTATTTTTTTTTTATTATTTACAAAAAAAGAACAAGCATTGGGCACATATACTTATGCTCCTACCATTTTATTTTATTTAGTCCACTAAATAAAATAAACCACCGCGATGGTGGATTCTCCACCGGTGGTGGTGCGTAGTGCACACCAGGGGTGATGCACGTTGGATTCTCCGGTGTTGCACACCCCTGTTTTTATTTTATTTAGTGAATTAAATTAAATAAAAATAAAAACTATCCACTGGCGGTGGTGCGTGGTGCACACCGTTGGTGTGTACAACAACTAATACACACACGGTGGGGTGCGCGGTGGTGGATTCGCTGGTGGAGTGCACCTTTGTTTTTATTTTAATTTTATTTAGTGGATTAAATAAAATTAAACTAAAAACAGCGGGCAGGAGGCAGTGGATTCCACCATGAATTAAATAAAATGAAACTAAAAACAGCAGTGCGGGCAGTGGTGGATTCCATCTTGCATTAAATGGTAAATGGACTGTACTTATATAGCGCCTTTCTATCTTATTTCAAGATACTCAAAGCGCTTTACAACACAATCTCTGTCCTCATTTACCCATTCATACAGCACTCTACTAGAGTTCTACAATGCTAATTGAACAAATCATTCTAAAGAGACTAATCAGTGCTTTTAGATCACATTCATACACTGAAGGGACACACGTCAGAGGCTATGAGGGGTGCCCAGGGACACTTCGGCATGTGACTGCTGGTGGATTTGAACCCCCAACTCTCGCATTGGAGGACGACTGCTCTAACCACTCAGCCACAGCCGCCGCATAAATAAAATGAAACTAAAAACATCATCTTTAATTAAATACTTCCACACTGCTGATGAATTTTTACCTGTTTGGGAAGACTTTGCCTGGTACATGTTTTCCATCTGCTTGGAAGAATCCGTTTTGTAGCCAGCGGCCCAGCTGATCACGTGACACACCCATTGACTGCGACTAGACGACATGAAATTTTAAAACACGCGAGATATCCTAGAATCGACTCGTCGACTAGTCGATTCAACCCCTAACGTGTGCATTTGTGTGTGAGCATGCTTGTCACTATAAGGATTCACCATATGAATGTTCAATAGTGGGTGTGACGACCCACAGATGTGCCCCCCAGGACATAAAGATGACACAGGGAAGCCCGGAGCCCTGGGAGTCCCCCAACAGGGTTAACTACACCCCCCACCCCACAAGAAAAGCAGAAGAGAGCCCCGGGCGACCACCCCCAGCAGCCAAAATGCAGAAGCCCTAGGGGGCTGCAGCAACAAGCCCACAGGCCCCACCGGCAACTTGCTATGATGGAGCAGATCCGGCCATGGACACAGAGCCCCGAGGTCATACTACCCCCCCAAGAGAGGCTCGACAGAGCCAGGGCACCCAGGCCCCAGCAAGCAGCCACCAGGGTGGGCCGGCACAAATCCAAGGAAATATGCATCTAATCTTTTGTGAGTCACTATTTTCCATGAGACACCAACACACATCGATATTGCATTCACAATAAAGTTTGGCTAGAAAATTTGTTGAAATCCTCTTTGTCTCATTTAGGATATTTATGCATTATACAGTTTGAAGTAAAAAACAGAACAAAACACTTCTTGAAATTGTAATTTTTCTAATTTTATTCAGGAATTTCCTGAAATCAACATAAACCCAAATGTATATGTGAAGAAGCAATAATGTCAACATATGTTTCTACATCTATGGTCTGTGCCAGCTGCGAAATATTAAATGTTTGTTAAAATATTGTCAAATGATCATTCATGAAAGAACCTGTAGTGGAACTATGTGGAATCTCCCAAACAGCTTACTCCAAAGTGGGACAAACCAGTTATGTTGGTGCTAAGATGGTGTCTTTGGCACGCCCCCTCCTCTTGTGCCAGCCCTCTTCCTTGTCGACAGTCATGTCAAACTGGTTCAAAACCAAAAAGGTCCATGCTCAATAATCCAGGTATACAATCCAACAATTTTCAGTCAGGTTGTCTGGACAGTTTCTTTTTTTGCTTAAATGTTTCAGCCCCAGAATCAGTTTTGTGTTGTGTGTTTCCTTGACTGATGAAGCCTTCCAGATGGAAGGTGAAACATTTCATTGTATAGTAACCTCTTTGTATAGTTTATATTTTTGCAAATTTTGGGTGTATCTGGGACCTTGAGCACACAATTTTGTTCCACCTAATGTATTGCATATGATGCAAATGACAATAAAGAACCTTGAACCTTGAATTGTGTGGAGATATTACAACATGCATGCAGTTGTGGCCTGCTTCACTCCAAGGGATCTTCGATCATCATTACAGCTGACTACACTCTAAGCGTAGCAATGGCACAATCAGTGTTCACGGAGGTGAGGCGACTCCTTTGGAACCGACAAGACGTTTGTTACGGTCTTCTTTTTCCTGCACGGCTGCATATCATGCATGGAAGGTTATCTGGACAGTTTCTTTCTTTTTGTGCTGAAACGTTTCACCTTCAGCCCAGAAGGCTTGATCAGTCAAGGCAACACACAACAAAACTGATTCTTCCCCCAACAGCTTACTCCAAAGTGGAACAAACCAGTTCTGCTTGTGATAAGATGGTCTCTTTGGTACACCCCCTCTTCCATTGCCAGCCCTCTTCCTTGTTGACAGTCTTTTCAAACTGGTTGAAAACAACAAAGTCCATGCTCAATTATCCAGGTATACAATCCAACATTTTTCAGTCAGGTTATCTGGACAGTTTCTTTTTTTTTGTGCTGAAATGTTTTGCCTAATAATAATAATAATAATAATAATTAAAGCTGTAAGCAGCATTGGAGGCCCTCGCAGCAAAGCATTGCTCCGGCCTTACGGCGACCGTGGGAGCTGCAGTTAGTCCACCCAGTCGCCATCCCAAATGCTTTTGTGCCAATCCCGCATGCATTCACCACGGGGCGCATTTCCCGAATCTTTAACATCGCCTTCCATCCATGTCGGTACTTGTCTAGCTTCAGGTCTTACAAGTGTAGGTGAAATCTGACCTTCCAGACAGGAGTTATGGTGACTTCCTATTTTGTTGCAATTGTTTGACAAGCACTTCCTTTATGCTTTTCAACATGTCGTGTGTTAATCAACACAGTTAGCGAACAAAGTTTCAATCTAATATTGTACACAGTGTGTAGCTGGAAGTGTCATCCAATAATCGACAGTTTTTTCTTTGAGAAGGTGGGGCTTAAGTGATGTCATGAATCAACAATACCCATGTGTCTCCAAGTGCTCACTTGTGATGCACAAAAGCTCAGGTTCAGATTGGATGATGTATCACTAAGTCATAACTGTTGGAATAATGTAGGGGTGCACTTGAGTCCAATGTTAAAGAACAATATCACTGTGTCTATAACTGGTCACTGATCACGTATCTAAAATCTGGTACCTATTGGATGATATTTCAATGAGATATACCTGTTGGAATTATTTAGGTGGCCAGCGTGTCTAGAAGTGCTCACTAATGATGTACCCAAAATCTGGCTTAGATTGGATGATTTATCACTGAGATAAAACTGATTAAACAATGTAGGGGGCACACTTGAGTCATATGTTAAACCACAATGTCAATGTGTATAGATGTGGTCAATGATTATGCATAAAAAATCTGGTTCCGATCGGATGATGTATCACTGAGATAAAACTGTTGGAATAATTTAGGGGCACACTTGAGTCAAATGTTCAAGAACAATACCAATGTGTCTAAGGGCTCACTGAACATGCACAATAAATCTGGTACATATTGGATGATATTTCACTGAGA